CAGATAATAGCTCGGTGAGCCCTGAGATGATGATGATGATAATGTTGGCAATCGAGGGCCACGGAGCATATCCAATCCCTTCCCTAAATGTCAACCTTCTCCCCATATCGCTGCGACACCGGGGCTCAGAGAAAAGGCTTGTGACAAGGAGGCCTGTTTAGAATGGTTAACAACCCCCCCGTCTCATTTGCTGCTGCATTTAAAACAAGCAGGAAAGGGGAACGTATGTGTGCATAGAGAAAGAAGATTTTAAAAAAAAATAGCAAAGAAAAGAGACAGAGATGGATGGAGGGAGGGTGGTGGGTTGGTGGGGGGGGAGGAAGATGTGCTAGCTCAGGCGCTTGTTGTGAGATTACAATGACTGTTCTGTTTTTCCTCCTAGCCATCAGCGACAGGGCCCATTCATTTTCACAGCAGAGAGCGACAGATTGAAGGCCAGACATCTCTTTCTTTCCCTGTCTCCTCTGTCTCCTTCTTTTCTCTCTTTCTCCCTCTCTTGTGTGTTTGGTTAACCCAGGGCTGATGACAGTGACAGCGGTGTGATGCTTCAGCGCCGATACCGCACGCCGCAGACGGAGAAGAAAAGTGATGCTGTGTGTCAGCGAGCGGACGCCCCGCGGTGCTGTGCAGTGCTCTCCATCCCAAAAAAAAACAGATGTTTGCGTGGCTGCAAAGCGGCCATTATGTGGGCGACTGGGGGCGTGTTGGCAGGGCCGGGTCACTGTGCACACGGCACCAGCTTCCTGTGTTTCTAACGGCTGAATGACTGCGGGTGTGCTCTGCAGCGAGCTATGACATTATTAAGGTGGACTCCTGAGTAAACAATGCACTCTATTCTGTGAAAGCTTGGAGGATAAAACGCTTACCCATGCTCGGCCAGCACTACAGGTGCTGAGGCCGTAATAACAGCTGAAGAATCACAGGGAGCTGCTTCAGAGGGGAGCTCTAGGCTTTAGGAATCAGCAGACAAAACCAAACTGAATATACGTAAAGAAGAGAAAAACGACTGCTGCCATTCTCAGGCAGCATCTAATGTATGTTCATCTAAAAGGGGGTGAGAATATGTACCACACTTATTTAAGATGATCAAATAAACAAACAAGACAAGACTAAATTATTCTCAAATAAACTCAAAAACTGAAACGTTGACTTGAATTCAATGTTTTATGTCAACAGATTTCACATAACTGTATACGGTTAGTTAAGAGCAATAATATTACATTTAAATAAAAAATGTTAGGTTCAACTCAAGATTATTTATTAAAGTCAACATTTTCCAGTGTTGTATAGCAGGACTTTAGTTACATGTGAAACGTGGTTTAGACACTGTATGACACTGAACACGAGCCTGACTTTCATCTGAGACTAATCTTAAAATGATCATAACTCCTTATAGTGAAACAGGACCAACAAGCAGATACGCTATCCTTCCTGAATCTATTTATATGGTATCTTATTTATCATTTAAAATGGTATGCTCCATGTATCTTTTCTGACTTCTCGTGTGATTATCTGTTTCATAATGTGGTTTGTTGTACTGACACTCATTTCTTGACACATTTGTATTGTAACTAGGGCTGTGGAATTAATCGTATTTTAATCTCGATTACGATTTTGGCTTGCAACGATTACGAAAACAACGTAATTGAAATAAAACGATTATTATTTTTATTAAAAAAAAAAAAAAATTAATTATTATTATTTTTTTTTATTTATTTTTTTTTTGGTTTTTCAGTTGAATTATACTTAATGTTCAGGGTAATCAACTGTTAAAAACATACTGTTCACATTTTTGTTTCAATAAATGGATGTTTTCAAAGTAAATGGATAATCGTTTTTAATAATCGTGATATCAATTATTGACCAAAATAATCGTGATTAGGATTTTTGCCATAATCGCACAGCCCTAATTGTAACCATGTTAAATAACCAACCAACTGGCAAAAGACTGCTGCGGGGGTGCAATTATTTACGTATTGTTTTGAGAGAAATATTTTAACTATGCAATCAAATACTTAATGAATCAATACACAAAATGTGTGTGTATGGATATTTGGGTGTCATTTTAGAATGCTTATACAAAGAGGGAATCTTTTCAGAATGTGACTATTATCCTCACTTATACATGTAAAATAAGTCGGTCCAATCAATCAGACATTTCTAAAAATGAATTATTTATTTTCCATTTTTATATCTGATTATACATCATCAGCCACCAAAGCGATCCACATTTGCATGTGTCCTACAGATGACATGTTTTCTTATGGAAAGCAGATCCTGCATTTCTCTGTGCTTCTCCAAGCCAATCTCCCGGATAAGAGTCGTATTTATAGGAGAGTGGAGGGAAGGAGAGCTGAGAGCCGGCGGAGGATGATACCCAGCGGGAGAGAAGCACACTCGTCTGTTTCTACATCATCCAGTCACCAACACCAAGCTGCTATCATTACAACGAGCCGAGGGGAGGGTCAGGTAAAAAGAGAGGGAGGGATGATCAATGTTTCAGGTCCTTACCCGCTGACATGGCCTTGGTGACAGTGCACAAATCCCCAGAAAGTCCTCATGTGGCTGAAGCCTCGCACCCCGGAGCTGAATATCAATCCCTCTGTCCTTCTGTCCATATTCCCTACATTTCCATAGCTCGTATTTCAATGGAACACATTTTTCCCAAACCAAAGAGATATTTTTGGTTTGATTTGTTATCTATCCAAAGTATATAAAGTGGCATGCAGCTGATCATGTTTTTCAGTTTTTTTTATCAAAGTGTATTAAATCATTACATGCATCTGTTTAATGTGTTGTGTTTTCTTTCACTGAACACACTGAAACCAGATGGTTAAACCTTCTATTAAGACAGGTTTTATATGATATCTTTACTCAAATGTCTTCATTTATTTAGTTTTATTCATATTTTATATTTTGTCTGTGAAAAAAAAAGAAAACGCTACATTTTCTAGACGAACCAACAATCTTGTTTTCATGAGCCAGCACAAATAAATACATTCTCAACATGAGGGGAAAACGTTCTCTCCATCTGTCTACCTCCATCCCTCACAGCTCTGTCTCTGACTGCCGGCTTACTAACTGGTGGAATGCAAGATGAAAAATATCAAGGGAATGAAGGGAAAAAACCCAAACACCCCAAATGTTTAACATGAACACATTTCATATACACGTACATATTAAAACTGTGAGTGTGTGTGTGTGTGTGTGTGTGTGTGTGTGTGTGTGTGTGTGTGTGTGTGTGTGTGTGTGTGTGTGTGTGTGTGTGTGTGTGTGTGTGTGTGTGTGTGTGTGTGTGTGTGTTTCATGACATCTCTTCAGCTTCATAAGAAATATGGGAGCTAATAGGCGAGGTGAAACTAGGCTAATACTTGGACTAAGCGGCTCCGATAAGGCGTCGTGTCTGACGGCTCCAACACACACTCACAGAGGGTTTGGGGGCCAACAAGGGTCCACAATGCAATAGAGGGTCCATTTATGTACATCTTAAGTCTTTATTTATATTGTGTTTTTTAAAAGAATGATCACTCTGGTTTTGTTCACACTGCTTTACACACCACTTTAAGAGCAGTGCTGGGTCATGGATATCGGTTCAAACTCAGGGCATCACACAACTCTTATACACTGTCAAGGCCTTTCTGTTAATGTTCATTTTAAATGTGCAATGTAATCATTTTACAAGCAAACAATGACAGTTCTGATCTCCTCTGCTGCTCCGCACACACATAACAGATGCACGTTCTCTTTTTCTTTTCCTGTGCGTTGATTTAGTTTGAGCCTGAAATCATGCCCTGTGATAAAGATATCGAGTATTTGGTTTGAGATATTTGGATATTAACCTTTTTGTTCTCCATATTGTCCATATTGTTAGAACTCTATATCTGATAATATTGATTCATATTGGACAGAAGAGGCTCACAGAGTTCCTCTGTAGAGTATGATCAATATGTATATGAATCCAGGCTGCTTGTATAATGAACATGAGAACATCAGAATAGATGTGTTGGAGCGGACAGCCAGTGAGTGTGTGAGATATGTATATGGTGGATCTTTCACAGCTGGGGGAATATACAGACCCTCTGGTCAAGGTCAAATTTGTTTGAATGGATTTATTTTCCAGTTTGATACATGTTTTGTTCCTCTTCTGGTTCTGGCTCCTGAAGGACTTCGGACCTCACAGAGAGGGCTCTGAAGGCCCCAGGAGGGCCAAGGAGTCTTTGATTTAGCAGAGGGTCCCCATTTGCAAAATTCATTTGAAATAGTTCAAATGTATTATAATAGCAGGAGATTAGCCCAATTAGAGACATTTTGTATCACTCTCAGATCTTATTTTTAGTGGATCTCCTGTGAGGGTCTACATGACAACCAGACTCAGACATGAGGTCTGCTGTCCCCTCAGTACAGATTTTGCCTCAGCTGAAGTTTGGGGGTATGTGTGGTGAGTGTGTGGAGCTTCACAGCCCGGCTGTCTGCTTCAGGCGCGGAGATTGCGCCGCCGGCTGACAACACATCACAGATCCTCGCGTTTGTATCCACGCATACAACTGACCCAACTACCAACCTGCCCATACTGCTCATCTAACGGTATCAATCCCATTGTATACTATTTCCCAGTTTGATTGCTTTTTGCAGGTTGAAAAGAAAATAAATAAAATAAAAGGTGGAACGGGAGAGAGGGCTTCCACGAAACAGGAGAAAATACGCTTATCGTTACTTGTGGTACGGACATGAGGAGGTTCACACAGGTCAATCAGCTGCACACAGATCCTTCCACGAACTGTCGATCTGCGTCTCTGACTGTTTCCATCGACGTGCCGGTGTCGGCGAAGCGCGTGAAGCCAAAAGGCAGGACATATTCCCAGCCGGTCACCCGTTACAGTACATCCAATGAAGCCACTTGACTTTATTCTAACAGCCTATAATAGATGCGTGTCGTCCGGACACTGCCACATTCCTTCATAGACGGGAGCCACAGAAACAGCAGTGTATGAAAAACTTACCGGGATGACAGTCGGCCCAGAGCAGCACGCAGGCAGGCAGGATAAGAGAGAAAATCCACCAGCAGCAACAACACGATTGCAGTAGCCTCCACATTGTAGTAAGGTGCCCGTCGACATGCAAACAATAAGCAGCAACAACTGTTGAGTTTCTCCCTTTAGCGGGTAAATCAGCGACGCCTCCGCTGCGTAAAAACAGCGCCGGGGACACAGCGCACAGCGGTGAAGGTGGAGGGCGAAGAGATGTTTAGAGGTCCAGGAAAGAGTCTTTCCGTCCCAAAATCCCCCCGATATCCCCGGATCTGAACATATCACTCTGGTACCGGTGGTTACGGAGGAGCGTGTGCATGCGGCTCACAGGAGACTAGCAGCGCGCTGCCGCTCTGAAAGAGGCGGCGGTAGAGGCAGCGTTCGGCGGGCACGCAGAGAGGGGAGAGTCGGTGTTGGTGTTGGTGATGGAGTGGTGCTGGAAGCTTTCCATTCCTCAGACCATCCAGGAAATAGCGCGTGAGCCCAAGTCTGGCAGAGACTTTAAAACAGTCTTGATGGGAGAGAGAGGATGAGAGAGAGAGGATGGAGAGAGAGAGGTCACTCCTCCGGATCCTAGCGCCGGCTGCAGAGCGCAGGCTCCCAGTATAACATGCACATGTCCCATAATAATAGGTTATATGTCAGACATGTTCTCCCCAGGGATCATCCATCATTTTGTTCGTGTTAATGACTCCAAAATAGATCCGCATTACACTAAAGCATCCCCGTTTCTCTATCCCAGAATATGTGACCTAAGGGGATCCCGCGTGGAAGGACTGAGTGTAGTCCTTAGGCCAGATACATAATGCATCAATTAATGCAATGCAAGGTGAGGTAGTCTCCACTAAAAGTTAACTAATGAATGGTGAGATGTTGTATTACTATCACTGAATGCAAGCAACATGTCTGTGGTCTGTTATCCCCGGAGGTGGGAGAAGTATCTTGTACTTAAGTATAGGTAGAAGTACCAGAGTGTAGGAATACACAGGAAGTCCTGCAATAAAAAAAAAAGTAAAACTATTATATAATAGCAAAAAAGTATTAGCATCAACATTTACTTAAAGTGGACCTATCATGCTATATTTGAATAATATAGTGTAGGACCATACCTATATAAGGCATATTTATACTTTTTTCTTTTCAAAATACCAAACAGATCATGCATTTTAGCCATGCCTCATTTCGCTCAATTTGAAAAATGTTAGCTCTGTTTTTGCAAGGGCAGATTCAGTGAGAACAGCACCATCTACAGGCCTGGCATATGTACTACAGCGTCTCCAGCGCTTTCGAACGGCAATGGCCGTGGTTGTCTCCTCCTGATTGGTGGAGTTGGCCCAATAGCCGTAGCGCCACTGTCCTGACGTCAGGACAGTGTTCAAATCTGGATCAGTTTTTATCAGATCCGTTGCAGCCCCTTTTTTAGAGATTTGGGTATGGAGGAAAATAGAGAGGGTTGTGTTTTCTGACACTTGGTGAGTTCCCTGGAACACCGGGGACACATATTCATGTATAAAAGACGTACAAAAGTGCATTTTGCATGATAGGTCCCCTTTAAAGTAGCAAAAGTAAAAGTAGTCATTGTGCAGATTGGTCCATTTCAGAATAATATATATGATATGTTTTGATTATAATTATTGATGCATTAATTAAAGTCTGATTTAAGAGTTGATTATAGTTCACAGCATTAATCCAAATCTATAAAGTAACCAAAGGTATTAACCTGTTAAGCCCTGAGCCTGTTTTTCAGGTCTCAGGCTCGAAAATGACATTCCCAGAACAAATGACCATATCTTCCCTTCTAAAAGGGTTAAATTAATAATCTTTATTCTCAAAGTAATGATAAACCTGTGAGTTGGATGTAGAAAAGTCAGAATCAATATAGATGTTTTTTATTTTAAAGAAAATTCAGATTGAACATAGTAAAAAACTGTAAATTATAGTGTCCGTCCAAAAATTATTTTTTACTTATAGTGAAAACTACCCTTGGATGATGGTAAGGTAGACTAAAAGCTTTAGGAATCCAAAGTACAACATATAATAAGTACCCTGTATCAAGATTGATGCAAAACAAGTGACATTTGACCTTTTTAGAGACGTTTAGCCAAAAACACTCCACTTGGGTGGAAATTGTTTTTTTTTCATATCTCTGGAACCCATTGGTCGATTTTGATGGTTGACAAACCTTTCTGATCGTTAGAGCCAATAGAATCGAAGGGGGAGTCCCCCACACACACTCATTGTGAAAAAAAAAGGTGGGGGCTTTGCGCATGCAGTTTTGCATTAGAGTGAAGCTATCTCTAGCTCTGACATCTAGAAACCTAAAAGCATGGATTATCCGTTTGTTTGCTCATGGATTATCAGAAATCATTTCAAAGGGACACAGACACATTGGATTAACCTATGGATTAACTTCAGCAGCATTTTTATCGTTTTAATGCCATTGAAGACCACTTTGGAGAGACTACAGAGCCAAGGTAAAAATGTTAGCATTTTTAGCTACCTAGCGTCACCTGTTTTGATGTCCGTTTTTGCTTATAACGTCGCCATTTCGTATAATTCAGTGATAATGAGGGTACCCATCGATTCTGTGTCACCTCACGATGTGAAACGATGTCATGGATGTGGTGAAAAGATAAATAATAAGGTTTTGTGAGTGATTTTCGGTGCAGTAAGGTGTTAGCATTTTTCGCTCGTTGCTAATTCAGAGGCTCAGTGTTAGCATTGTGGGTTTTCTTTTGAAAAAAAAAAAAAAAAGATCAGTTTGATGAGTTTCTTCTCGTTACATGGATATAAAACATTCATAGTTTATTAAATGAACATGCCCTCAGACACTGTTTCCTGCAAGATGTTGCGGCAGTGCCCCGGTACCGGGGTCTCTCGGGCTTAACAGGTTAAATATATGTAGTGGAAAAGTACACCATTTACCTCTGAATTGTGGTGAGGTCATAAGGTAGCAAATTATAAAAATACTCAAGTATAGTACAAGTCCATCAACATTTTTCTTAAGTACAGTACTTGAGTAAATCTACTTAGTTACTAGACACCACTGGTTATCGTGCAGGGTCACTTCAAAATGATTTAGCTCCTGATCAGAACTTGACCCAGGCCGTCCTCCTCGCCCTTCCTCTGTGTATCGCCTGTGAGAGTCTTCTACTGTCGGTAACCACTGTTTAATGTTTGTAAGTACACACCGTTGTTTTGTTGGGCTGACACACATCAGGAAACACTTGGCCTGATGTCAACATGCATGAAGGCCTTTCACATTAGCTCTGCAGGGCCTCTGAGCTGCTGGACCTTCATCAGACACCGGGGACATACAGCACTTTATCCTGTTATTTTAAGAGTGGAGACCTTCTCCAAAACAACTTGACTTCATGAAAGAAAAACATCGAACTGCACCAGTTACTTTACACAAAATACACGATAATTCCAGAAACCAACAGTCAGACACATGAAAGCTGGTATTAAAAAACACGGACAGAGTAAAGCAGTTTCCACCGCTGGGCTGCTAAACAAAAAGTGCAATACTCTTTTAAACACCTATATGTTATGCACTTTAGAACTTTTTAATGCACTTTAGCTTTTAACGCCATTGCTCTTAATTATTTATTACCCCCTGTGTGATTGATTGCAGTCTACCCTGCTAGGGTGTTTTTTTATTGTTTGTCTATTTTCCTCACTGGGACAGGGTTGCACGATAAAAATGGCTTCGTATAATTTTTTGTACATTGCCAATAAAGGCTTTCTATTCTATTCTATTAACTCTTGAACAGAGAAATTATCAACATTTGTTGACAATTTTCTAAAAGTAATGTCGTCTTTGTACTTTAAAATATACCACTGATATAACTGTATCTTTGAGATGATTGACTGCACAGTATAGAAGGAGCACACACAGAAAGAACCCTGTGGCTGTGCGCTTTAATGCAATAAAAAAACAATCTATCCTCACTGAGATGCATTGAGATCAAAGATGTAATAAAAAAAAGGGGGAGGGGACATCAACAGCATCTTCTGAAAATACATTTTATACAAAACCTCAGGGGCATCAGCTGAGGGCATTTCCATTCTGATCTTGAACATTTTATTTTAAGTGGCAACAGTGGGAACACCATTTTAAAAGACTCCAAGTAGCTGCAACAGATCTTTCTTTACTTTACAGAAATCTTAAGGAATTTATTTTAATTGTGTCATTCAATATTTAACATCTGTTGTACAGACAAACACACACACACACACACACACACACACACACACACACACACACACGCTTTTAATAATCTTCCTTTTGTTTGTGTGGTTTTCCTGCCGTAGGTATCAATACATACTGCCAGGTTGTACTGTCGTTGCTTAATTCTTTTGTGCAACAATATAAATCATTACTGATGTATGATTCTTCCTCTACATCTTTGTATTCATATTTTGATGTTTGATGATGTGTTCTGTAAGATAAGGTTAATCAAATATGATCCATTTAGGTGTGTTAGCAGCAACAACAATGATAAGGGCTAAACACAGGACAGAGAAGGTACGGATTCAAGGATAATTAAAACTGCGGTCACAGATGTGCGCAGTTGTGGACGGGCCCTCGCGTCTGTGCGCCTGTCGGGGAGGGTCGCCAGTCGTTCCGGCGTCAAGTCGACGCACGCGAGTCCTCCGAAATGAGCCGTTTGTCATTTCTCTAATTTTCGCGTCCTCGACTCCTCGGTCTTCCGGCAGCGACCCGGAAACGGATGTCGGCGCGCCGTCTCGAAGGAAAACAAATTTCTCTAAAAGCTCATCGAGGATCGATTATGGAGGAGCCGTAACCGAGGATACACTGATTTAGAGGAGAGAGGAGTCTCTTTGGAGGAGCTATAACCGAGGGTACAAAGATGTAGAGGAGAGAGGAGTCTCTCTGGACGAGCTATAACCGAGGGTACACTGATGTATCCTCCGGAATCGATTTCAGCCAACAGTGATGTTTAAAAGAGGCGTGACGCATGGCTGGACTTATGTCAACAGCTCTGCAAACTGTTCCCGTTGTGATTAATTTGTGACATGTAAATCATCAAAAATGGTACATTGTCCGTTAGCTTACGAGCTCCCCGTTTGAGCGATCAACTATTCCTTCGCAATTTAGCATCACATTGGATATGGGCTCAACTTTTTCCGATCATTTCCCTAGGAAGAGTTCGCAAAAATGTGCTTAAAATGCATGAAAAACGCACATTTTTCAAAATGGCCGACTTTCCGGGGGGCGGGGCTAATGGAAGCCAATTAGAAATATGTCCGCAATTCCATGAGGAATGTCTGTGCCAAAATTCGCGAAGTTCGGAGAAACTATATGTGACTACCACACAATAGGGGGCGCTACTGAGCTGTTTTAACAAAAATACGATTTTTTTTTTTTTTA